GGGGATCAGGCAGCCCGCTGTCCTCCCAGAGCTGGGGAAAGGGAAAGGTGCCTGGAGGTGGGGTGGGGACCATTGTGGCCCCTGGCCTTGCCAGCTGGTGGTTCCTTCTTGTCTCTCCCAGCTCTTCTCCAGGACCTCAAGTTTGCCATAGCCAAGGGCCTCTCTGCCTGGACACTGTTGGTGGCGCGGGGAGCGAGGGGTCTGTATTGGGGATCCCAGTGTGGGACTGTCTTCAATTCTCCTACCTACAGAGCACAGAAGAGTCTGTTAGGGCTGGAGCTGGGGGCAGAGCGAGATTATCTCAGCCAGTTTCCAGAAGGGCAGGAGCTGGGAGCCTGGACTCTGATCTGGAGTTCAATGCTCTTGGGTGATAGAAGAGGCAACTAAAAACATCTCCTTCTCAGCTCCTGGCCTTGAACCCCATGGCTTCTCCCCTATCTCTTCCCTCATACCTCATGCTTCATTTTCCCCAAAGCCCTAGGGCAGAGCTTCCCCTAGGGGTGGTTGTGTCTAGGAATATATATCTGTCTGTCTGTCTGTCTGTCTGTCTATGGTAGTACTAGGGTTTGAACTCTGGGCCTGGGTGCTGTCCCCTAGCTTTTTATTTTTCACTCAAGACTGGTGCTCTACCACTTGAGCCACAGTCCAACTTCCGGCTTAATTGGAGATAGGAAGCTCACAGATTTTTCTGTCCTAGCTGTCTTCAAACTGCAGCCCTCAGATCTCAGTCTCCTGAGTAGCCAGGATTACTGATGTGAACCAGTGTTGTCTGACTTGTATCTAGAAGTTTTAAACCACAGAAGCTGGTGGCTGTGTGTGTGTGGTGGAGGTTGGGTATCTGCTGGGGTGCATAAGATTCCAGTGGCCAGATGGGCACTGATGGAAGGTGTCCAGGTCTTGGAGCTTGGGAGCTCCTCAGGGCAAGGTGAGGGGGGAGGCACAGTGGATTTTTATCTGGTTGGAGGAAGAAGGCCCAGAGTTAGCATTGGGGCTCAGTTTAATGAGGAGCTCTGCAGGACAGCGGGTTGCCCTGGGGGTAGTGAGGGACCCATCCTGGGTCTGGGCGTAGCACAGACAGGCTGCAGGCAGTGTGGAAGGATTCCTGAGCTGGGATGTGGTCAAGGGATGACCTCTCTAGGTCTCTGGGGATGCTGAGGTCCTGGGATTCTTGGCGTCTGGGATTCTCTGACACTGGAGCGGGGGAATCAGAAGCTGTGCCCTCTGGCCTGGGCGTGGGCTCGGATGGGTCTCACAGGCTTGCCTTCCCCTCCCAGTGCTCAGGGAACGGGAACCAGCTTCTCTCTGTCCTTACCCCATGCCCGGCTTTTGCTAACTGCCCCAGGGCTGCCCCAGCTGCTTCCTGCACTGCTCAGAGATGCTTCCTCCCTGGGCTCTGTCTCTGCCTTGCTCTGGGGTTAACTCCTCCAGGGCTGGAGTGGACCTACGATTACATGCCACAGTATGGATTGGAGCCCCTGCCACCAGTGTTTGAGGACAGGAGTGGGTATACCTTGAGGAACTCGGAGGCTCTCTTGAGAGGCAGGAGAACCCAGGGCTGCATGTTCTCTGAGCCTCAGTTTCTGTAGTTGAAAGGGCATCTAGCTGGAAGTGGCTTGTGTGTGTATGTGTGTGCACGCGCGTGTATGCGTGCATGCGGTGTGGTGGCAGTGGTGGTGAGGGTTCAGGCCAAGGGCTTTGCTCTCAAGGGCTCTCAGGCAGGGTGGGGAGAAGCAGATTACTTCCCACTGGCCTCTCCAAACCTGTTTCCCAGGTAGGAGTGGGTAGAGAGGGGGAAAGGAGGTGGGGAGCCCCATCCTTGGAACCTCTCTGGAGCCCTGCCCTTCCTGGGAGCTCCTACCCACTTCTCTGCAGTTGACTTTTGGCCTCTTTTCTTCTTTGTTCATTGTAGGGCTTGAACTCAAGGCCTGGGCGCTGTCCCTGAACTCTGTTGCTCAAGGCTAGTGCTCTATCACTGAGCCCCACAGCTCCACTTGGGGTTTTCTGGTGGTTAACTGGAGATAAAAGACTCACAGACTTTTGTGCCTGGGCTGGCTTCTAACCAGCATCCTCAGATCTCAGCCTTCTGAGTAGTTAGGATTATAGGTGTGAACCACCAGCACCTGGCTTATGGTCTCTTCTGAGCATGGGGTTTCTAATCAGGAGAGTGCCTCACATAGTCTTGAAGAGGAAGTTTAACTTTAGTCTCCTCACCTGCCAGTGTCTAGATGAAGCTGCTTAACTTGCACCCTCTTCCCTGGTTACAAGGCCCAAGCTCTGAAGAGGAGAGATAGGGAGGAATACAAGGGCTGGGTGGGGCCTGCTATAGGCCATTGCTGTTACTAGCCTTCTTTCTGGCCCCAGAAAGGTAAACTGAGGCTCAAATGGGGCATATGTCTGGGGAGGAGGGGCTGATGGAGGACAGAGAAGACAGGCAGGAAAAACCCCCATTCTCCAGTTACTGGACTTGAAGAAAGCAAATCAGAAAGGGGTGTGACTAGGTGGGGAAGAAGAAGGAGAGACTGGGGCGGGGAGGGCGGGGGAGAGTGGCTCCCACACCGTCCTGGGCCTGTGGCCTGTGGCTCTGTGGCCCCCTGGCTGACTGGCTCTTAGCTTCTACGGCCATTAGGCACGGAGAGGTGTGTGGGCACAGACCAGCTGGAACAAGAGCCGCGAGGTGGCTGGGCCAGCAGCCCTGCAGCCGTGCCCACCTCCCTGGGTGCCACCATCCGTTATGCAAGGTCACATTCTTCCCTTCCAGGAGCCCTTTCCCATCCCCAAGGGGAAGGCTGGGGGGAACAGGAGACCACCAGGGGCAGCGCTGAGGCTTGGGTCTGCCTCTCCCCAGCTCCGTGACCTTGGCTGGCTTCCTGCTTGTTTTTGCTTTGGTTCCCCTTGGGGAGGGTGGCTGGTCTCTGGAGAGTTGGCACCGGGCTGAGGTGGGAGGTAGGCCCCAGCCAGTCCTGGGCTCAGTCTCCTCCAGGACTGTCAGGCGTCTGTGATCCCTGCCTTTTTAGGGCTGCAAGCCTGGAATCAGGCCTGGGCGGGGAGGCAGGGGGGACTGGCCTGGAAGCTGATGGGACCAGGGTCCCCGCAGTACCCTCCGCCCTGGGGAGGGGCTCAGCCCTGGCTGTGGCTCTTCCTGAGACCTTCCCAGGTCCTCTTCCAAGGGCTCCCCAGGCTCCTGTTGACTTTGGGAGGTCGGCAGTACTGGTGCTGCCATAGTCCCCCAGGCTAGATGTCGGAGGGTCCGGCATGGCACCCGCAGAGGACATGGCTATCTGAAAACAGGGCTGAGGATGGCCAAGGTTGAGAGTGTGCAACCAGCCTGTTGGGGCCCAATACTGTGACTACCCTGTTTGCTGTGTTGTCTCAGCAAATGACCCAACCCTCTCTGAGTCTCTTCCCTCGTTATAAAATGGGGCACCATAGCACTTGCCTCTTGGAGTAGTGGCAAAGGCCGAATGAATCCATTCACTTAAACCACGTGGAACCGTGCTCTGCACATAGTAAGTGCTCAGTCACGGCTTGTGACATGGTGATGCTGCCTATCCTTGGTAGTGTGATGGGATCACTCTTCCCTGGTACCGCCCAATGAGCGAGGGGAAGAGAGGATGCGCGTCTTTGTATCAGAGCCCAGAGCAGCCTTCCTCCTCGCCCTGCAGGCTGGAGTGGAGGGGACCTCTGGAGGCCTCATCTCCCCAGGGAGCCAGCTCCCATCTGTGTTTACGGAGGCCTCTGAGAAAGTTGCTGTGGCTGTAAACAAAACACATGATTGTAAACCTGCCTGAGCTCTGCTGCCGGCGCCCCTCCCACCCTCCAGAGGTTCCCAGGCCTGTCGGGGACCTGCTTGGAAGTAGGATCCCCTGATAACAACTACAGGCTGTGCTCTGTCTTACGCCCTCCAGGTCGCCTTGACATCTAACCTGCTTGCCTTTGACCTCAGTGTCCTTCCATCTGTCAGTGGCGGGGCTTGGAGAGAGCCGGCTGGTGCTTCCTGTAGGCTCTGAAGTCAGCTGGGTGGGGCTCCTGGCCACTGTCCCTTTTCATCGCAGGCCCTTGCCCTCCCTGGGCTCCTGGGCTTACTCTCCGGTGGCCCTGGCATTTCTCATTAGCAAGGGTCAACCCTCAAGGCCTGCCAAACGGTGCTCTCCACCCAGAGAGGCTGGATTGCTCTGGGTCAGGGGTGAACTCCATTTCTGGACCCCTGGCTTACCCAGGCACAGCTGTAAAGGGCCTTAAGCTTTCCGTTGGAGGAAGAATGGGTGGAGGCTGATGAGGACACCTTCGGGAAGGGCCCATTTCACTTCCCTCCGTCTCTGCTCATCTCTGCCTCATTTCCAGGCCCCTGCTCAAAGGTGGGTCTCACCTTTGACCTTGATCTCTGATCTCCACCAGCCCTGGCAATCAACTGGCCCACAACTCGCCTTTAGGGAGCGAGCTGTGGGTTCAGTCTAGGAGTGGGTCTCTACCCTGGGGTACCCATACCCCCTGCGCCTTACTAACAGGCCTTACCTGGCTCTGTCCCTTAGCTGAGTCCCTTCCCCTCTATGTCCCTGTGTCCTCATCTGTCAGCCCAAGGACTGGAGAAGTGCAGGTCTGGGAGTCCATCTGAGTCCCTCTGTCTGTAAGGGTGGTGGTGGTGGTGGAGCCCTCCCCTGGTCCCAGGCTGTGGAACTTCACCTTGGATTGACCTTGCTTTGCTCTGGCCCCACCCCCACCGCTGGCAGTCACTGGCAGGAAGTCCTGGTGATTAGGGCCCTAATCACCGGCCGAGACTCCCAGAAACAGCAGAGCTGGTGGAGCAGAGAGGGGCCAGGCCAGGAAGGGGGGGTTGAGCTGGGGTGCTCGGCTGTGACTGGGGCTCTGGATGCCCGCTTGAGATTGAGGCTGGAGGTGTTGGTGGTCCCCATTCACCCAGCACGAGGCTAGTGTCCACACACATCCAGCTGGACCCTTTCCACCTCCTGACTGTTCATGTTAACAGCCTTTTAGGGCATCTACCCTGTGCCAGGCAAGGTGCCAGGTATAGGGCTGGAAAGGCCAGGGAGACACAGTCTAGTGGGAGACAAAGAAGAGTAGATAGGATATTTCTGCAAGATACAGTGGGAATGTCCAGCAGGGCTGGCTGAGTGGAAAGGCTTTGGAGAAGAACCTCTGAGATGGACTTTGAAGGTTGAGAAGTTTTCCAGTGGGGAAGAGGAAAGCAAAGACGTCTTCAGGTACAGGGGGATGTGTGCATGTAATAAGGCTGGATGAAGTAAATAGCCTGGATTGGTGACCTCAAACTTGGTGTCTCTCCCAGCTCTGCTATTTTTACCTGTGCCACGTTGGCCCGAGCCTTAGTGTTGGCTTCTGTGAAATGGGGTCAGTGTGCTCCAGGGGTGTTGGTATGAGATACCATTTGTAGGATGCTGAGTTCAGTTCAGTCTGTATGGTTTAAAGATGTCATGTGTGAGAGCTCAGAGACGGTGTTGGGGCCTGAGGGTGGGCCAGATTAAAGAAGGGGAGCAGCAGAAGGTTTCAGCATAGGAGAAACATGAGAGGTGCAGCAGAGATGCCCAGGGAAAAGGTAGCATCCAGGATCTGGGTCCCTGGAGGCCTGTGTGGTGATTCCTCAGCTTGGGGCTGGAAACACCTCTTCCTGCCACTGTGTCTGCCCGGGGCTTCCTTCCTGTGTGCCTCTTTCTGTGTTGGATCTGGAGTTCTGAGCAGGCTGAGAACTCTTTCCTGGGTGGGAAATCCTTCAGTTTCTACTTGAGCCTGGGCTGCAGCAGGCAGAAGGAAGGGTAGACTGCAGGCAGCTCCCATTTCTAAATACCAAGAGACTCACCTTGGGGGTCATTTTTTACCATCTGGCTGGCACGTGTAGGCCCATTGCTCCATAAGTGAGTGAGTGAGCGAATGGACAGGAGCAGGCCCCCTAGTGAGGGTGGAGGAGCTTGGGTGCTGCATGGCAGCCATGCCCCAGCTGACTGTAAGTGGCCTTTGTGTATCTCTAAAGCCAGGTACCAGCATGTCACAGGTGTTGGGTGACTATAATGGTGATGCCTGTCATTCCAGCCATTCAGGAGGAGGAAGGTGGAGGATCTTCATCAGAGGCTGAGCCAGACAAAAGTGAGAGACTGTATCAGAAAAACTAAAAGCAGAAAGATTGGGGTGTCCCCAGTACTGCAAAAAAAATAAAGAAATAAAAATAAATCCATAGTGCCCCTCCCCCCCCATTCCCAAATCCATCCCATCATCCCATTTCTGGCAGTCTGCAACCGCTTACTCAGCCAGCGAGTACTCTCCTTTAGTCATCTGTAAAGACGTGGGAAAGCAGGAGAAGCGGGTTTGCCCATGAACACGCTGTATGACTGCTGCTACTTCACGGGGCCTGGGCAGGGCCTTGGCAGGGGCTTGTTGCCTGGGCTGTGTGCAGCTGCCCTGGGGAGGGTGGGCGAGCCTGAGAGTTACACGAAGGTTCCTCGGGAGGAATTCTGGGTAGCTCAGAAGTGGCCTTACCACAGCACACGTGTGGCCGGCTGCGTTGTGCTGGCCGAGCCGAGTGTGGGAGCGGAGGCGCGGCCAGGCCTAGATTCCAGGCTGGAGCCCTGGGAGAACTGGGGTGAGAAGGGGTGAGGATGCTGGGTAAGGGAGGAGAGGTGAGCCAGAGGAGGGCAGGCCTCACAAGTCCCCAGCTGGGACCCCAGGAATTCCTCTCCTCATTAAGTTCAGAGGGCCTGGTCTTGCATTCCCAGAGCCTCCCCAGCTCCCCTGCTCTATCTTCCGGGATTCTGGGCAGTTCTGCAGCATCAGCCTGAGGTCCCTCTCCCCTGTCTTGGTCAGAACGTGATTTTCCTCAATTAACTCCTGTCTGGCTGCAGCCCCTTCCTTCCCCCTTTCTCTTGCCCTCCTTAGAGCTCCCAACGCCAGCATGAGGAGTGGGGGGGGGCAGCAAACCCTCTATAGGGGGAGGGAGAGAGGGTGGAATTGGGAGGAGCCCTCCCCCCAAGCACTGCGGCTAGCTCACTTGTGGAAGGAAAGAAGTTAGGAGAACTGGAGTTAGGAGAGTTGCTGAGATTTTGCAAGCCCTTGGACCTTTCTGGTCAGAGGCTCCTGGTCTTGAGAGGCCTTTGCTGTCCAGGGTGGACATAGGGATCCAGAAGGGTTTCAGGTATTTGCTGGGTGCCTGCTGAGATGCCCCGAAGCTCCCTTCTGGCCACAGGATTGAGATGTTCTTTGCCCAACGATGACTCCTCCAGGCAGCTGCTTCTTGGCCAGGAGCAGCGGACAGCAGCTGTCAGGGGTGAGGGGGCCCGCGCTGGGCTGTCCCAGTGACTCAGGCAGGGGTGCACTGGCAGGACCAGGGCTAGCCAAGTGACTGAAGGAGGGAACAAGGCAGATGTCAGAGCTCCTTGCTGGCTATTCTCAGGAAACAGGGAGGGAGGAAGGGATGCGCTGGGGGTGGGTGCTGAGGCAAAGTAACAGTGAGTAATGACTAGAGTCTCTGGAGGGCAGGTGGCTCCTAGGCTCTGTAGAGCTGTCTGGGGCTCCGGAAATGCTTACCAGAGGACCAGACACTGAATCACAGCAGCCTAAATGCCTTGATCCTCGTGGTCCTCAGAGCAAGGGGCCCTGGCCAGCAAGGGCCAAGCCAATATCCACTTTCTGGCTTCTTCTGCATGGGCTCCTCCCACCATCCTCCCCCTAACTTTTCTTCTACGTATCCAAGGATTTGCCTTGCACAAAATTTGCGGTCTGCTTGGTCAAGATGCATTCATTATATTCACAAACTGTCATGTTGAATTGAAACCCCCTTTTACAACTACTAAAAGCTAGTAACAAATTAAGATCTCTCTCTCTCTCTCTCTCTCTCTCTCTCTCTCACACATACACACACACACAATTTGCAGTCTGGCTCCCTTGTGTTTGAGTCCTGCTCAACAACCCCTAGCTGTGAGACTTTAGCCTTCTCCTCCTCCTCCCCTCCCCTTTCCTTTCCTCCCTCCCTCCCTCCCTCCCCTCCTTCCTTTCCTTCCTTCTTTCCTTCTTCTTGTCTTTCTTTCTTATTCTCTTTCTTTCTCTTCGACTCTTTTTTTGGGGGTCTGGTCGTGGGGCCTGAACTCTGGGCCCGGGCTCTGTCCCTCAGCTCTTCAGCTCAAGGCTAGCGCTCTACCACTTGAGCCACAGCACCAGTTCTGGCTTTTTTCTTTTTGCTTATGTGATGCTGAGGAATCGAACCCAGGGCCTCTGGCATGCAAGGCAAGCGCTCTACCACTGAGCCAACTTCCCATCCCCTTGACTCTTTTTCTTTCTCTTGTTTTCTCAATTCTCTCTCTTTTTTGGTCTTTGTCTCTGTCTCCATCTCTCTGTCTTTCTCATGCTGGTACTGGGCTTTCATTTAGGGCCTAGGCTCTGTCCTTTAGCTTTTCCCTCAAAGCTGGTGTGCTTTATCATTTGAGCCACAGCTCCACTTCCTGCTTTTTGGGTGGTTAATTAGAGATAAGAGTCTCATGGACTTTCTTGCCAAGGCTGGCTTCAAATTGCAGTCCTTGGATCTCCGCCTCCTGAGTAGCTAGGATTACAGGCGGGAGCCCCTAGGGCCTGGCCAGACCCACTCATTTCTGCTGGCTAAGTAAGCTGCAGTGACCTTGTGGAAAAGGAGGCATTACTTGTACCTGTTCTGTTGTTGGAAGGATTAAGTGGGATAATGTGTCTAAAGTGCACCCTGAGCCCTGGGCTCCCCTCTGCCTCCTCTGCACAGAAAGTTCCTGCTTTCCACACTTCTGTCCCATCAATTTCAGGCTGCTCTTGTGCCCCTCCCCCCTTCACCCCAAGCATCTTGCAGTTAACTGTACTCAAAGGCGCTGTTCCAGCCGTGGGGATGTTGGTGAGGCTACTGTTTTTATTATTGTTTATTATTATTAGTTATTGTTAGTATTATTTTGGTACCAACACTGGGGCTTGAACTCAGAGCCCAGGCACTGCCCCTTAGCTTTTTCTCTCAAGGCTCAACCACTTGAGCCATAGCTTCACTTCCAGCTTTTTGGTGGTTAATTGGAGATGAGTCTCATGGACTTTCCTGCCTGGGCTAGCTTTGAACTGCAGTCCTCACATCTCAGCCTCCTGCAATTGCAGGCTAGGATTATAGGCACGGACATGGCTTACTGGCCTGTGTCTTCCCATCTGGGTAGTTTTGATTGGGGTGGGGTGGAGCAGGAGTACACTGGGGAGTCACTGCATCTGTCAGGGTGTTCTGGTTATGTGTACGCCCAATTTGGGTGTTGGGAGCTATGTGGAGACACGTCAGCATGCCTATGGTGGTGCTCTGGGTCACTGTGTCTCTGTCTGATAGGAGCTTTCTCTCCTGTCCATTCCTGTGTGTTCTGAGCCTGAGAGAGCCAGCTCTTCCACAGTCGTCCTTCCCTAGCCTTCCCGCAAACCTGCCTTCCATGCCTGCATCTCTCAGATCTTTCCCGGAACAAGGAAATGTTGCACGGGGTGGATATGCGTCAAATGGCGCTGAACAATGCTGGTGACAGCCAGGCTTCCAGCGGCCTTCTCCTGCAGGGCTGGCCTCGCTTCAAGTCTCTGCTACTGGCTAATGGGGAGGGAGAGGGGCTTCCTGCCATAGTCGCAGATGGACTTAAAGGAGCACCACAGAGCTGGGCTGCCCTGGCTCAGGACCTCCTGCTTCCGGTGGGGGGGGGGGGCTCCTAGGATTGCCTGGTCCCTAATAGCAGATGGGCTTCCAGAACACCAACCCTGGCTGTGTGCTAATCGTGCAGAACAATTATGTTACCTCCTGCCCCTGCCATCTGTAGACCAGGAGTTTTCTACATGAGTGAATTTGCAGATAACGGAAGCTTATGCCATGTAAGCATTGAAAGCAGAGAAGGAAAGGGAGTTCTGTTGTTAAGTGGAGAAGTGCTGGCATTGGATAGTGTCCCAGCGTCCTTTCAACTTAGGTAAATAGGATCTTAGGAAAAATCCCTTTCCTCCTGGCAGTCTGTTACTGCTTCTCGGTTTTTTTCTGTGAAACTGGGCTGAGGGTAGAACCTGGGGTGGAGGTGGGGTTGAGTGACTCGAGAGGCATGCACTGCTTAGGACTGGCTCCGACATACCAGCCTGCACGGGCCAATTCATGGCTTTGCAGATGTGGACGTTGGGGTGCAGAGAGGAGCAGGGATTGCACGGCAGCTACCATAGCATGACTCTGCTCCAGACATTTTTATCA